AAGAATATTGAATATACCATGGACTGCCAGAAGAACGAACAAGTCTGTCTGGGAAAAAGTACAGCCAGAATGCTCCTTAGAAGTGAGGATGGCAAGACTTCGTCTCACGTACTTTGGACATGTTATCAGGAGGGACCAGTCCCTAGAGAAGTACGCCTACATTGGTAAAGCAGAGGGTCAGCGAAAAAGAGGAAGACCCTCAATGAGATGGATTGAAAAAGTGGCTGCAACAATGGGCTCAAGCATAACAACCATCGTGAGGATGGCGCAGGACCGGACAGTGTTTCGTTCTATTTTACATAGGGTGCTATGAGTCAGAATCAACTCAACGGCACCTAACAACAACAATAGCAATCAACATCGTATTGAGCTGTTACCATGTGCCGGGCACTATTCTAAGTGCGTTACTTGTGTAACGTCTTTAATTCTTACCACAGCTTTATGAGGAGGACATTATAATTATCTCCATGAACTTGAATAGAAACTTGAGGCAGTGAGAGATTATGTAACTTAATTACACACATAGTGTTTAGCTTTGGAAAAGTAAAGATTTTAAGCGACCATGTCGATTTGGTCTATGTGAAGCAAATTAACTATATTTGAGAGACCATATAATTGTAAAGGAAAGAAAATGAACTTTGAAGTCAGATGGATCTGCGTTCAAATTCTGGTTTAACCATTGTCATGAATTGAATTGGGTCCTCCCAAAAATGTGTGTATCAACTTGGCTAGGTCATAAGCATTGTATGATTGTGTAATTTGATGTGATTTCCTTATATGTTGTAAATTCAAGAACACACTCGGCATTCCTCAAGCTGAAAGAAATGAAGAAAAAATTCAAGCCTCAAGTTGCAATAGTGAAGGATTCTATGGGGAACCTCATACCACCAAGAAAGCAGTGCCGGGAGCAGAACGTGTCCTTTGGACCTGAGGTTCCTGCACTGAGATGCTCCCAGACCAAAGGAAGACTGATGCATTACAAGGACCTTCCTCCAGAGCCGACAGAGAGAGAAAGGCCTCTCCTGGAGTTGATGCCCTGAATTTGAACTTGTAGCCTACTGGACTGTGAGAGAATAAATTTCTCTTTGTTAAAACCAGCCACTTGCGGCATTTCTGTTATAGCAGCACTAGATGACTAAGACAACAATTTTTCAGATGCAAAACCCTGGGCAAGTTATTTAGTGCATTTTGAACTTCAGTTTCCTCATCTGTAAAATCGGGATAGCAATACCTACCTTGTAATGGTTGTTGTGAGGACTAAATAATTTAAGCATAGAAAGTGCCTAACACAGGGTCTGGTACATAGTAAACTGGCACTTAAAACATGGTAGCTCCACAGATTCCTCATCCCATCCAATAAAGTGCATTGCACATTTGACAAGCTTTCCTTTTTTGGGGAGAGGAATCAATTATGAATCATTTCTAGAGCCAAAGGATTAGAGTTAATAGACCAAAAATAGGCGGATTTTCATATTTCCAGGCTCTAATTACTGTCCTGACTCTCATGCCATTGCTCTGCTTCCTCTTATGGAACATTTTAGCTTTGGAGTCTTGGACAAATGCATGCTGCAATAAAAATAGCAACACTTGCTGCTAACGGTTCTTTGAAAACTGAAAAGGGGAATGGAGTTAAAAAGTACTTCCAAATATTAATGGAGTACAATTGAACCCTTAAAACATTTTCAGTCATTATCCTAGAAATACATAAATTATTTAAGTTTTAAACACGTGAAATAACATTCCTTTAGTAAGAGTGGGCAATATGTTAGCAAACTTTTTAGAAATTAAACCCCCTACCCAAATTCTTGCACTGGTTACGTTGTTTTCAAATGTTTGAATTTTCATGTTTGAAGATTTTTTTAAATTTACTTTTAGTTGAACCAGTTAACAAATGTCCAGCATTAACTCCCTTCCAACTATCTAAGATTTTGACAACTGACTGAATTATATATCTTTCCTCTTCAATTTTAAGTATTTAACACATTTATTTGCTGAGTTTACTGCTTAGGCTGTCATGAGCAGAAGTGAACTCATTTGGTATATTTTATCACATACCACACCCTCAGCAGAATGGCCTCTCCATAAACACTGCCCTAGTTTTAGCAAATGCCATTTCAATGACTACCGTTCTCGTCTGCTTAAGTGGTGCTTTCTAGGAGGGTACAGAGTGGCCCCTCTCCTCTCAGTGAGTGACGCCCAGTTGAAACGAGCATTAAGGGTAACCTTGAAAGAGACAACAGGTCACCAGCGAGCAGCTGGCAGCCTCTGGACTACGCGTGGAACTTGGGTGGAGCATGTCCATCTGTTTTGCCATGATTTAAGGGCTGATTACAGGTGTAAGAGTTTCAAGTCGTTTTTATTTTTTTAAATTATGAGCTGATTGAGCCACCTCCTTCAACTGCCTTTCTAAGTCATGTCCCAAAGTCAGGTCTTGGGGCACTCGCTCATTTGCCCTCTCCCGTGGAGGATCCTGTTTCCTCTGTATGATGGACACGTGGTGAATGGGAGAAGTAACAGAAAATAGCTGACCTACATTGTGCACAGCATGGTAGGCACTGTTTTAACAGGTTTTATTTATTATTTAACTCATTTTATCCTCACATTGATTAAATCCAATAAGTAGGTATGATTAGTACCATCATACTCACCCTTGTATTACAGATGGGGAAACTGAGCCATAGGTAGTTTAAATCATTCTAGCTCACATAGTAAAAGTGGTGGAGCTGGGATACGAACCCAGTCCGTCTGGCTCAAAGGCTCTGTGCCTAATTATCACGCCAGAGGGGACACAAAAGCTCCCTAGCCTAGGAAGCAGCACGTAGCTGGAAAATAATGATGAACGGCTGGATTCTGCTTCCTTACTGAAAATATAATGTCGCATTCCCATTATTTCAACCCTAGCCTCATTCAGATAACTGGTGCTTTCCTTTTTCTTTTTTTCTGACGCAAAAGATCTCGAAAACAATAAGAATTCTTTCACTTGCACAACGTCTCCAACATCACCACGCTTATCACCAATCCTGTTTTTAGGTTGAAAACAGAACTT